TTAGAGCCTCAATTATCGAGCAATTAGCAGTGCAGCATAGATCAGAGGTCATGACATCAAAACTGGCTGTTTTTCACTGAAACTGCAACAGCTGAATGTTGGATATAATGATGAGATTATTATGCTCTGCCATTACAGTAGTACTTAGGATATGCTTTGAATTATTTACCTTCTGTGATTTCTTTCTCCACCACCATTCCTAGGCGAGCAGCTCCCTCAGCAGAGTTTTCCGTAGACCGGACACGTCACCTGATGTCCTTCCTCACCATGCTCGGGCCCAGCCCAGACTGGAATGTGGGGCTGTCAGGAGAGGACCTCTGTACCAAGGAGTGTGGCTGGGTCCAGAGACTGGAGACGGACCTCATCCCGTGGGATGCAGGCACTGACAGTGGCGTCACATATGAGGTGGTGTATCCTGATTCTACAAGTGTGATCTTTGCTGTTGGTTAGCAAGATCACATAAAAGGTGCCAGGCTAAAGTTAATAACTGTTGATGCAAATGCAAACTCAAAGCTCTTTATACAACTTGCCTCATTCTCCCATTCATACAAGCACTTTTTCTATTTAAGTGTATCTCACATTTGCAAACATTCAACTTGGGAATAGTATGTTTCCCAGGGATATTTGATTGACCCGCCAATGTTACGATAAACAAGTGATTTGCTCTACCTCCTGAGCGACATCCACCCCCGATTGAGGTGATTTCATCCCATGAAAATCTTCTGAGTATCTGGATCATTTTCGCTAAAATTGTGAAATAAGGCATTGGCCTTGGTTGAAAACACTCTCGGAGAACCTTTCTATTTATTTCAAATGTTTTTGCCACTAGAAGACACCTGTAAAGTGTGACAGGCAGAAGAGGCATCGAAGATTTGTCACAGTTTAATGGTGTAATACTCCATGATGTTCTGACCAGACCAAATATTTACATATATTTTTAACACCAGATCAGATGGACTACGCAGTATAATATCTTCAAGTGAATTCTAAGAGATAAAACTGTTTATTGCCTGTTATTAGAAGGTTTAGTGCTGTGCGGCTGTGCTGGCATTAAACAGAATTTATAGCAAATTGCCTCATCACATCACAGCACTCTTGACTTTCACCTGTCTGTTACTCTGAGAGACTTCTTTAGTTTTCTTCATTTTTGGAATGAAAGGTGCTCAGCCATATTAACCCACCGTTTGGAGACTAAAGGGATTTATTTATAGTTTACAAGCTCATGAATAAGCAAGGAGCTTACCCTGCAGAGTGGAGGTGGTAAATACCTTTCAAAAACCTCACTTACATAGAACCAGTCCTCTTTCAACTCACGTCTGTTACTTTGTAAACATGGAAGTGTTTCTTCTTAGTCTTTTATCACATAGTCTCTACCTAAGCGCTCTAACTGACACTGACACTCACATTCATATAATTCAAGGTTTTTGTCTGTATATGCACGTGTATTCGAAGTTATAAAATTAGGGACATTAATAAAAGTGTCGTCAATTTACTCACCATTTTCAAAAGGAAGTATACACAAAGTATACAGTTTCCTCATTAAAAACATGTAACTTTGAGCAGTAGTGAGCTATTTTTGTAACCATGTTCTTTTATTCTGTGTATGAGTCAGCCTTTGTATAAAATGTGGGCTATAACACAAGTAATATATGTAACTATGCATTGCCTAGACCCTGCTGGGGTTTTTTTTGTCCTTAAATAGCACACATTCCAAGCCGATAATGTCTTCTTACTTGGGTAAAAACAATGTATTGTTGTAAAAGTTTTACTACGAGATAATGAATGCATCATCCTGTGCATCAGACATTGAATTCCTGCCACCCACATGCAGACATATGGAGGAACGTAGTCTTCCAGACACTTTCTCATAAACTATACAAAAATGCTTTTGCAGTTTTTGTGTTTGCAGACATTAGTGAAGCTGTTTTTATTGTTTTTTGTTTCTTCCACAAATACAATTTTTTCAACCAAAATGTAAGAAGAAAATGTTTTTTTTTGCATTTTGGTCTTAGTTAGATAATCCAGTGGACATGTAGGAGAAAGTAAGCAGGGAAATGACGTTAAGCAGATGGAAGAAAGCTATTCAGCTTAGCAAATGCGAGGATAATATGAATTCAACCAGTAACCGAGGCAACAGAGTCTTTTGTACATGGTCATTTAAAATAAGCCAACATTGCCAAGCTTGAACTTGATACATTATATTTAAAAGAAAAATCCCCTCTCGCTCCTGCAGGCGGTCTATCCTTTAAGCTCGGGTCCTCTGCCAGAGGCCTGGGAGCTTGAGGGTCCTGCGCAGTGTCTTTGCTGTTCCTACGACTGCGCTCTTCTGGACAGAGATCTCGGATGTTGTTCTTGAGATCTGGTAGAGCCACTTGCCTAGCTTGGGAGTCGCTCACCTAGCGCTCCGATTACCACTGGGACGACTGTTACCTTCACTGAATCGATGTCTCGTTCACTCCTGGCATACAGCTTGATGTCATCCATGTAGAGGAGGTGGCCTACGATTGCATCATTCCACAGTCAGTATCCGTAGCCAGTCTTGTTAATGATCTCATACGGGTTCAGGCCTATGCAGAACAGCAGTGGGGGCTAAGCATCTCCTTGGTAGATCCCGGACTTGATGCTGACTTGTGCTACGGGCTTGAAGTTGGCCTCTAGTGTTGTACGCCACATCCCCATTGAGTTCCTGATGAAGGCTCTCAGGGTCCTGTTGATCTTGTACAGTTCTAGGCATTCCAGGATCCAGCTGTGGGGCATTGAGTCATAGGCCTTCTTGTAATCAATCCAGGCAGTGCACAGATTGGTCAGTCTGGTGTTGCAGCCTTGGGTGACTGTTCTGTCTACCAGTAGCTGGTGTTTTGCTCCTCTGGTATTCTTGCCAATTCCTTTCTGTGCCCTGCTCATGTATTGTAGCCATGTGCCTGATCATTGTCCCGATTCGTGATTGAGGTGTGAGACAAACGACCAGTGGTCCAAGTGAGTCAAAACAATGATTTTATTAAACACACGTGTGGGAAGAAATACACCATCACAATCCTCAGCATAAATCCCCACTAGAAAGCATACTTAAAATGTTTCATATGTCAGGGTGTCACACCCCCTCTTGCGTTAAGCAGATACATAACATGCATAAGTTACAGTAACCACAATTCTTTTGTTGACAACCGTTAGCCACTATGATGCCTGACAGGAGCTGCCATGTGGTACTGAGGTAGGTTTTTGGCTGAACCATGTCAGGGCCTGGTGCTGTCCAACTCTTCCTGCCTTTCTTGGATGTCTGCCACTGTGACGGTTACTGGACCCTGTTCAGGGAGGTTGCTGTGGTCTGCCCCCTGATCCATGGTCCTGGCTGCTGTAGCATTTGTGCTGTACCTCATCAATCTCCAGCTGTGAGAGCAGTTCCTTCTTCCTAATGTTGGAACACTGAGCTACTAGTTGTTTCGCCGTCAATCTGGATCCTGGGTATCTAAGATTCCATAGGTCACTCATGCTATTCATGTAACCCGTTCCTCTCGGATTACTTGTGTAGTAAAATTCCAACAGCACCCTATTTTCATCTCTTACCCACCTATGCCATTTTGTTCCAGAAGCGCACTTCTCATCAGGGTGTCCTGATTCCTCAACACCTGACGCGGACCTTGTTAATCTGGGCGACATCCAAGCCAGTATGGACCCGTACTGGATACAATATATGTACAACTATATCAAAGTGGAGATTTTTTTAATGGCTCTAATTCCTATGTGAAAACATTTGAATTAAAAGTAAAGCTTAAATCATTTCCTGTTAATTTTAACATCTTCTGTGGTGGCAATAAACAACTCTAACATGTAGATGTGCACCTGCAAAGCTCTGCATAGCTCCAACACAGCGCCAAAGCATCACCATGCTAGAGTTATGAAGAGAATCATTAACACTATTGCAGTGGAGATGAGAGTGTAACTTTGTACCTCCTCTAATGGCTTATTTAGTGGTGCTGAATATATTAAAATACATCAAAACAGAACGGTGTTAACTTGAGAGAACACAGAGAATAATTTATTATTGTCACATGTTTTTATCTCCTCACTGAACATGGCAACACATGCTATGACACACACATACCTGGAAACAAAGTATCTCCTATTAAGGGTCTGTTTGAATGGATATAAATGATGCATGGTGAGATCAAACAGAAATGAAGCTGTAGACCAGGTGGTTTATGGGAAAATCTGTGATTCGATAAGATCTTTCACGCCTTTTTTACTTCCCCACCTCTCCATTTTGGAACAGGATGGAAAATCAAAATCAAAAAGCTATTGTGTTGCTATTCATTTTTTTAATTATTCTACTATGAATAAGCCACTTCTGTATTGTTTGCTTCACTCAAGAAGAATTCTGTTGTTCCCGTTTTAAAAGCCTGTTTCACAGACATGCATTCACAATAGGCTGCTATTGGATTAGTATTCTTGTCCCACAAGTAATTGCCATGCCCTAAATATTTGCTGTTTAACTTTAATTACTCTAACCATTCCTCAGTGGAGGACTGGGACTCTCTTCTTTCAGGCATTTTGGATGCACAATATAGGAGAGCAGATGTTTTCCTCTAGGACACCATCTCTTCTTAGACCAAGTGCTTTGCTCAATCCTAATATGGGAGAGTGTGAATAGCTCTCTTTCAGTTCACGACCCGATCTTTAGCCATTGCATATTATTTGGACACGTCCGCTTTCCCCTGATTGTTAAAGAGCCGTCAGAGCTGATTCACCTTTAGATTCACGTTGAAACTCTGTGACATCTACCTAGGGAGATAAAAGTGAAAAGTAAGAGCCCTTTGATTGGGATTTCAGTATAGCAGGTCTGCCTTTAGTTGGGCGATAGCATCTGTCTAGTTTTGCTATGGTGGAATATTTTTGCCCAGAGAGATTGCTAAAAGCATAAAAGAGGGATGCAGCAATCTATATAATGTTTAAACCAATAAAACATCTAAAACATAATAGAAATTAATATCATTAGGTTTGTCAGCGTGTACATGTATTTTGTCACTTATAATATAAATGCTTTATTATTTTTTATAGTTCATGTTAAACACCTTATAAGCTCATCGACACCCTTTCTTCTGCCTCTTTTAGTCACCAAACAAGCCCACCGTTCCTCAGGAGAAGATCCGACCTCTGACCAGTTTGGACCACCTCCAGAGCCCGTTCTATGACCCAGAGGGCGGAGCAATCACCCCTGTGGCCAGGGTAGTGGTGGAACGCATTGCTAGAAAGGTAAAAATTTCATCTGTGTGAATGTGTTTAGGGCTTCAAATAAACACAACTATACATTGCAGCTTTTTACTGTGGTGAGACCTTTAAGGGACCGATTCTTACACTGATGTTTAATATAAAAATTTGGCAGAAACAGATGCCAATAGCGATTTTGGCTCTTATCTATTTTACGTGTACTATTTTATGTGTACTTTCACGCCTAACTTATTTCATGTTGAAATAAGGGAAGTTTGAATCCCAACCACAAATAAAGGCACACAGTTTAATTCATAGGAAATTATGTGAAATTCTACTGTGGTTGATGCCTTTGCTGTAGATGGTTAAACTTTAAAGTTAACATAAAAAAAGTTTTGAATCTGACTAATAAAAATGCCAGTCACACACACACACAGCCATCAGTGAGCTTTTTATGTTAATTGTGGGATTTGTTAGAATCTGAGTTTGTGTTGTAATAATGGTTAGCAAAGCCAGTGAAGGTCAGCAGATGACAAACCTGCTTGCAAATTAGCTCACCAGCACAGGTACTAGTCTCGCCTCATGTGGCCCATGCAGTTTTTCCACTGCTTTTTGAAGTATCATAAAGCATCTTTGCATTCCCATGCAAAGATACTTCACTGCAGTGAAGATACTGAAGTATCTATGCATGACAATTAAAATTATCCCTAATTACAGGGACCTTTGCTGGACCTTGTTTTAGCTCCTTTTCCCTCCCTTTAGGCCAACCTTTTTCCTGATTGGCTGGCCCTCATAAACAAAAGATTTCAGGAGTAGGTGGGCGGCTGTGAGTGTGAGATCTCACTGAGATCATAGAGAGCCAAGTATAGAAAAACTTTTTGAAATGAAGTACTTTGAAGTAATTTATTATTTAAAATTCATATAGTACGTACATACACAGCAGAAAAAAAGGTAAATGAATAAGCGGTCTGCCTTAAATTAGTGTTATTCATCCTATGTTAAACTACTATTTTTAACTTCAGAAATAAAGTCTCAAAGTCACGCTTTGTCAACATGCTTTTTGATAGTGTTTAAGTGTGTGGTCACATCTTTCCTCGTGTGCACAGGGGGAGCAATGTAATGTGGTCCCCGACACCATAGATGACATAGTAGCAGATATCGGACAAGAGGAGAAGGAGACAGGTAAACACACACTCACATACATTCTTTCCTAATTAAAGTTGTTCAGGGAAAGACCCCAAACAAGACATAGTAGATTACCTGAGAGCCTCAGTGTTTAACTAATTATTCAAACCCCATGATTATAAGATATTGCATTCCTGTGCTTTGAACTTGCCTCTTTGTTCGCAAAACTTTTACTTTAACTATTAAACCTTGTTCCTGGCAAAATGAGCAGCCACAATAGGGATTCAGTGTCTTCAGATTATCAAGGACGCACGCACAGCTCATTACAGACACAACTGGTATCATCTGAGACTCAGATGGAAGGTCACATAGTCATAACACACATCTGCCAGGGCTTTGTCTCCACCCTGCTGTGTGCAGGTGGGCGCCCCACAGCTCCAGACCCCCACAGTTGCGTCTGGAGCAAGCCCTGCCCTTATCAAACATACCTGATATTCTGTGATGCAGCAGAGATGCTTTCAGTCTGGACACTGATGGCTGAGGCTCTGCACATGAAAGCTGTTTGTGAGAGTTAACTGTTTGGCATAAAGTCATAAGACGTTCATTATGACAGTTATGACAGTAGTTTTATTTAACCATTAAACTTTATAGAAAAGACAGTAAAGTTATGTGAAAAAGTTTTCACAGGACTCTGTTGCGTCTTCTACAAATTGTTAAGAAGGAGAATTAAGATGATAAGTAGAAGCAAGGTGTTGCTATTTAAATCAACCTGATTACGAGGTTTGCCTTCCTCTGTAAAAGCACAGGTTTTTGTTTTAATTCAGACTCTACAGGACTCAGTCTGGATGTTAAATCTTAAAGTTCATGATAGTAGGAAAAAGAAACATCAGCATCTGGACAAACCACAAGCCTTTTGTAACAATGTCCTTTGGACAGATGAGACCAAAGTAGAGATATTTGGCCAGAATGCACAGCACCACGTTTGGAGCAACCCAAACACAGCATTTCAGCAGAAATGTCTAGTATCAACTGTCAGCACGGTGGTGGAGGGGTGATGATTTGAGATTCTTTTGTAACCACACGACCTGGGCAGCTTGCAGTCATTGAACATAAATTCCTCTGGACGCCAAAGTATTCCAGAGTCAAATATGAGGCCATCTGTCCAACAGCTTGTTCCAAACAGGACGATGATCCCAGACACAGCAACAAATTTACAACACAATAGCTGACAAAGAATTCAATTACCCAATCGAAGTCCAGACCTAAATTGAAGTGCTGTGATGGTACACAGATGCCTGTGGTACCTGTCATGTTTGGGTCAAATCTAATAGATTTACAAATTAAAACACTCATAAATATTGTGTTTTACGTCTGATTGCCTCAAGGCCTTATGACATCCTGCACACTTTGCACTTGAACATTTAAAAAAGTGATGATCACCCCTTTTGTTGAATTTTGAGTGTTTTAATCAACCTTGTTGCATCTGTGGTGTTCATAGGAAATGAATGGGAACTGAACGACCAAATGAAAGACCCACTGAACTGAATTTGGTGGTGAAAAATGTTTGTTATGCTAATTTAAGAGCTATTAAAACAAACTGGTCAAATTTGACCAGACCACTAAAGTAAGGGGTGGGGACCACAACTGAGAGGTTGTCCCCAGTCCACCTCTGTCCCAGTCCACATCAAATGACTGACTCAACTTTGTAAAGAAGAGTGGGCCAAAATTTCTCCTCAACGATGTGAGAGACTAATAAAAGTTGTATAAAAAAATGACTTCCACTTTCAAATTTGAGATGCCCGTCAATCAAAATGAGATCTAGATGAATGTAAGTGGCTGCACGGAGGGTGTTTCTTTTTTTCCACCCAGTGTACAGTTATTAAGGAGGAAATTACAGAAAGGAGGCTGTAAATATGTTTTCAGTGCTGTTTTAAATGGCAGTCTGTAAGGACTGACACATGTTTGTAGACACTGAAGCAGTTTTTCAGATCCAGAGGTTACTGCCTGCTGTAACCTGTTTTTTAAATCCTGTTTTTTAATGGTTTAACGGTTTTTAGCCCATATATGGGTTGTCGCATGACATTGTTTATGGTGCGCGTAGATGTTTTAGCCTATTTCTACTAGAAGTGGCTTTGAGAAGAGGGAAGGTTTTTGCCCACACAGCAGAATTCTTAACAAGGATCTCCTGCCACCTAATGAATGTCTTCCTCAGTCAGTCATGAGCCATTTGCTTCTTTCCCCTCCTCTGTTCCGCTACCTGTCCTCGCTTTCTCCCTTATCTCTGCATGAGATGACACTACAGAGACGAGTATCTATTTGGGTTGATCCCCCAGGTCCACCTGAAGCTTTGACGCTTTTGCTTACACATCAGCTCAACGCTCCTCTTACCTTCCGCTTAGTGTCGGCAGTTCCTTTCTTCCCTCATTCTCCTGTCATTACACTTTATCCCAGAGAATTGGACCCACTCACGTTTGTCTCTGTGGCCTGGCAGTATATTCTCTCTCGCCTCTCGTCTCATTTTCTCTGCCTTTCTGAAGCCCTGAGGGAGCATTATTAATTGAAGCCAGTACCCCTGCTACTTCTTATAGCTCTGCTATCACTGATAATTGGACAGGACATTCACAAATCACACTCCTCTCCAGCTTCTCCCTTCAGCTCCTTTCTCTCCCCCTCAGATGTCACTTTGTGGCCTCTTGTGGTCGACTACCTGTGGTAATCACCTTTGGATGCAGTTTTTATACAATCAATGTCAGTGCAGTCCCTCATCCCTCACCCCTCCCACTGCATGTGACAAATGACTTCAGCAACTTTGCTGGAGTGAAAAGGAAAATTAAGTTTTGCAAAAGAAAATTTATTTGCTGAAAAAAATGAAATTATTCTTCTCCCAGTCATCCCGATCTTTCTCTCGTAGATGACACACCTGAGACGTGCATCTACTCAGGATGGTCTCCCTGGTCAGCTTGTAGCAGCTCTACATGTGAAAAAGGTCGCCGGATGAGACAAAGGATGCTGAAGGCCCAGCTGGATCTCAGCGTGCCGTGTCCCCACACTCAAGATTTCCAGCCCTGCATGGGCCCAGGATGCAGCAGAGAGGGTAAACACACACACACAGACACACACAGGTATTATTTGACAGATAACTCATGCAAATACACTCTGCAGTTTTTAAATGGCAGTTTCATTTATTAAGGGAAGAACATTATTCAAGCCTACCTGACTCTGTGTGATAAAAGTAATTTGTTAACTCATGAATTAAATGTGACTAACCACTTTTTTTCTTACTTTCACTAGCTGCACCTAAGACTGATTACTGTCACTTGAACCGAATCTAACAAAGTAAAGTAGGTTAAAAAGAATCCCTAAAAGCAACACATAATACCACAATCGAAAGAAACAGCTGAGAATATTTAAGTTTGAGATGTAGTGCTCAAGTTTTCTTGTGGTTTCTCTGAGCACCGCTCCGACCTTGGAGTGAATTTGCAAGGACGTGAATACCTGGGAAGATTGTAGCATTGCGTCAACACACCCTTAAATTCTTCACACCAGCAAACTGCAAAAGCTTTAGCTTTTATAGAGATCATCACACTTACTGATGATCAGTTAATCAGGCGCATGTGATTAGCAGCACCTGACTGCTACTTAATACTGCAACGAAAACAGAGTGTTTGGGTTTGCTTAGATTTTCACAGCACTTCGCGGAGTTCTGTTTTTTTTTTTCACATGGCTGCATATATTGGGGGGAAATATTTATTTAAACTCCTGTTTTAATTTGTAAGTTTGCTGACTTACAAAGAAGTGAACAGTCTCAAATTTTTATGGTAGTTTCATTCTATGGCCCAGAATAGATTACATAAAAGTTTTAAATTGATTTGCATGTCATTAAGTGAAATAAGATCCCCAAGCAAAGCATAACTAGTAAATAGGGATGGGTATCGTTTAGGTTTTATCTGATACCAGTACCAAACCGGTACTTTTGAAACAGTGCCGGTGCTTAAATGGTGCTCAAACCGGTGCTTAAAGAATGGAGAACACAAACTTTGTTCTAAAACGTCTTATGTTTAGCTGTTTTTTTGTAAAAAGATAACAATGTTAGCCTTTTCTGCAGCTAGAGGGCACATATTGTATCACTCTTGGCTGGAAGCAGTGCTTAAACAATGGAAAAAACACAAACTTTGTCCAAAAACCTCTCATGTTTAGCTGTTTTCCACTTTTTCTTTGGTCATTTTAGCCTTTTTGGCCAGGGTGAAGGGAGCATCTGCCATCAAACAAGAAGACAGCAGCATGTAACTACGACGATGTTTGCTAGTTCACCTTACATACATTAATTTAATAACGTGGTTAGCCTACTCAACGTAAATTACACAGAACAACATTAAGCTACTCACGCAGAGAAGAACGGCTGCTGCCATCATCATCATTTCTGCTACACTGGCAGGGCTCGGGGCCAGGACTCTACTCTTCGGGTTCTTGGGGGATGTTGCTAACTCCGGGTCCGATAACAGGCACCACACCCGCAGTAGGTGTGGTGCCTGTTATCGGCCAGATTTATTTCAGTAAATATCGGGTGACTGTAGCTCAGGAGCAGGTCAAATATTGATTGGAAGCTTGGTGGTTCGATCCCTGGCTCCTCCAGTCTGCATGTCAAGTATCCTTGGGCAAGATACTAACCCCAAGTTGCTCTCTGATGCATCCATCGGAGTGTGAATGTGTGCGAATGTTGTTAGAAAAGCACTCAGTTTAGAGACAGTACTTGTGTGATTGGGTGAATGTGGCATGTTGTATACAGCACTTTGTGCACTCCGGGAGAGTAAAAAAGCGCTATATAAGAATCAGTCCATTTAAATAATATTTATACATTTGTGTAGAAGGACCTCTAATAACCCTGACAAAATGCAAATGCACATCATTTTTCATCTTCCTTATTAAATTTAAAGTAACTGCTTTTGAATTCCTTCTGAGGACGGCCAAAAGAGAAGATTTTTACCTACTAAAGAGCCCTGATTCTACAATTCTACAAATAACGTTATAAAAATGATCTAAAATACGAATTCAGAAGTAAAAAAAAAGATGTCCTTCACAGTGTGGAAAATAGACATTTATTTCATTTATTTGTTTTCTCCTACTGTAAAAGTTAAGAGCAACTCTTGAGTGGCACTAATTTAGATTTCTTTAATGTCTTTAAATTGTGACACCATTACTTTTAATTAAATACCTTCTTATACAGTAAATTAGGCATTTTAATTAAACATCGTCCATCTGTTTTTGACACGTCTGCCCACATGCTGTGACAGCAGAATAATTACATTTCTATATTCTCTCCAAACACATGCAGCACACGTCAAAACAAGCTTAAATTGTTCTGTTAAAGCTAATAAGAACAACTGGAGGACTGTTTAAGTATCTGTGCAACACAACTAAATGAACTCCCTCTAAAAAATCATATGTGCTTTTAGAGTTTTGGACTTCTGGCTTCCAGTATGATCTTGTTATTGGTCCTTTAAGCCAGTACAACAGAAACAAAAGATTTAAAAAATTAAAAAACATTTCTGTTATATAATGTCTGTTTATTTTTGTGTTTATTGTTATATTCTCGACCCTTGTTTCATTTCAAAAAGGTACGTTATGACTAGTAAGTTTGCCACAAGCCAAATCAGCATTGTTTGTGTCTTCCTGCTGCCCCCTAGTGTAAAATAAATTAAAAGTTGCTGTTAATTCCTTGAGTGACATAAATCGGCTCAAATCTCAGTTTCAATCTGATCTTCAACTAAATGTACTACTGCAGTGAACACATTCACAAATCCTTTAAGCATCTTTTAACCAAGTTATCAACATAAATTACGATCTGTAATAATAAATAAATATAAATTTGTCAGGTGTTAAGATCCCCAGTATGTAAAATGGCACTAATAATGCTGATAGTGTATTTATAAGGCCAAATGGTATTTAGTTTGCGACTTTCTTGGGTCCAAAAGTTTGAATAGAGATTTCAGGTTAACCACAATTTTGAAATTTCATTCAGTTGTTAAAATTATTAAAATTTATTAAAGATGCTAAAGTGTAATTTTTGAACTCTGATTAATCACTAAATCACTAAAATTCCAAAAATGTTAGGACACTGTGTAAAAAGTAACTATAAAGAATTCAACGATTAAAGTCCAAACTGTACTCACAAAAGAACAAATATTTAAACTGAGACATTTACTTATGTCATAAAATATATTGGTTTATTTTGAATTTTATGACCGCAACATGTCTCCAAAGTTGGGATACGGAAACAATGTAAATGAAAATGTAAGTGGTACTGAAAACCAACTCATTAGCTTAACTGGCAACAGGTCAGTAACATGACTGGGTGTAAAAAGAGCATCTCAGAGAGGCAGTTTCCTCTTTGCTTTATGCACATCCACATTGTGCCTTTGCAGATGGTCAAGCTGCCAATCAGTGCTGAAAGGTATATACAGGTTTTAGAGGATATGCTCCCATCCAGACATCATTTACATGGATGTCTGTGTGTATTTCAGCCAGAATGAAAACTAAGACAAAGAAGACTCAGTGCTGTTGAAAAGCTAGAATCCTGTATCAGAAAAGAATGAACTGTTGCTAACTGTGGTTAAACAGTTAGCAGGTGTTTTCTTGACATTTTACACAGGTTGTATAACCAGAGTTATATTCATTGATGTTAAATTGTTAAGCATTTTCAACCTGTGCTCTACGACAGCAATAATCAAAGCAGCCAACACTCACTTGTCTTCTGCACCCAGAGGAAAGCTGGGGAGTGCTGAACTGTTTTTTACCTCACTCTGCTCCACATCATAAAACCTTAGCAAAACCAGTATGTTGGCATGGCTACACATCAGTGCCCCCTTAAAATGGTAATGCCAGATAGATAAGTTGGTTTCTCGTGGCTGGTTCGGAAAAATAAATCTCATGTCCGATGGAATAGAAATTGTAATGTAAGTGACTGAATGTATAACTAACATGACAACAGCCATTTTTAAAAATGCTTCAACAAACTAATGAGTCTCTTCTCTTCACAATTTCAAATTCAGTCTGTTAAAAAAGCTCATCACACTATTCAAAGTTTAGCTTTAGCAGGAAGTTTTTGTATTCTGTAAAGGTGTCCTGACCTAAAAAACACAAGTGAAATGCATTTGTGTTCCCCTGAAGAGAGGGCAGAGACCTCACTACAGGAAACCTGGACACTACACCACCTGGGCTCATTGCTTTTTCTCTTTGCCATTAAGCCGAGTCATCATTTCACAGCTACGACATTGACTACTCTGGCTCTCAGCCTCATCACGGGAATTTTCAGCTTGTTTCAAGTGGACCTAAACCTAAACTTAATAGCGACGAAGTTAAAAATATAATAATACACAAACAATAATTACAGAAATTAACAGAGCAACGACACGTGGAATGTCACAGTCACAAATTGTACTAAATGAATCAAAACACAATTTTGTAATATTACATTAAAAAAAGTTTGCATTTCCTGTGTCCTAATCCTTTTAGAGTTTGAGACATTAAAATCGGATCAACAAGAGGGGCAATCAGTGAACCCTCGAAATAAGCAGATTAAAGCTTCGCTATTTATCTTATTCCAAAAACAAAACGCACTCAGTGACTCTGGGTGGTTCATTGTGGCTTAAACCAATTGAATTTTGTTCCCTTGGTTATATTTCACAGCCCGGTGAAATTATTTTCTACCTAAATTCCATTGTGACAGTTTAGGTTATTGTTATGAGGGATTACTGTGCGCTTATGGAAGGAAACAGGTGGCACCTTTGTCATTAAAAAGTGAATCTCCAGCTAGCTACTATGAAAGCTCCATTTGAGAAAAAGGCCACGCATATCTGAAGATATGTTTATATAGTTTCATCAAGGGAATATGTGACAAAATACAGGAAATCCCTAATCACACAGAGTAAACACAGGTAATTGGATACCCTAATTACTTCACTCAAACATAAAAGATTATGTGGATCAGGTCTTGGTGCCGGATGGCCTGCTGCATCCAGGATACTTAAATCAGGATTTGATTGTGTTTATCTCTAAAAGAAATCAAAGCACCGTGCTTTCACTCTTATGTTAAAGCTAATAAGAGCAAGTGGAGGATTGTGTATGTGCGGGAAGCCAATTATCAGTCTGACACAAAGTGAGGGCCCACACACACAAACATATTTACTAAACTGGCAGTTCACGCTAATCTAGGTTATCAAATTACTTTCAACTTTTTCCACATTTCTTTCCTCCTACTCTCAGTTTCTCTTTCTTCTTGCCAAATGAGAAACTTTTTCGTCTGATTTCAGTCAGAGTTGATGGACCTTTGCTTAAAAAAAATGACAGCAAGCACACAAATGAGCAGAAAACTTCGGAAGTTTGCTTTTACCCGTTTTTCGGTGAAGTTGTCAGTTTGGAACAAATACTGGGAGGCAGTAAAGTCAGCGCCTGTCTGCTCCCCACCCACCTCCTCGCTCTTCTTCTTTTGCTCCCAGGATGTCTACAAGGCCTCAAACTAGTGAAGCTCCAGCTGTTCAAGGCTCAACAAGCCTCTAACACACACATGCACACACTTCCACCCCTCACTACTCCTCTTATTGATTACCAGCCAGCAACATGGATAGCTTTTTGTTCCTGAGCGCCTCTCCTTTGTTTTCATTTAGCGCTCCGTTAGTGTGCAGTGGGAGATGGATAATTGCAGGGTTCATGCTGGGGCTGGATAGAGGCCGCCTCCAAGGGTGATTAATATTCCTGGGAAATATTTTGGCTCTCTAGAGGCCTCATCCAAGCTTCAAATACCTGTATCTTTTATTAATGATTCACTTAGCTGTGCTTTATTAGGCCACCTCTGATAAGTAACACTATTCTCAGTTTGGTAGGAGGCTTATACATTTCCAAAAAGAAGAAAAAAAGAAAAACCCATGCTAAGTTGCTTGAAGTTCATTCGTTCCTTCTTTTAAAAAAATTCTTACAAAACGATCTCTTTGTATCTGACTCCCTTTTGTCACTTTTGAGTCACTGTCTTAGTCGCTATTCTCAGAAGAGGTGTTGGAACAAGATGGCTCATACAGCGTCTCTCTGTAAGTGAAGAACAGGGAGATCCCGAAGCACCATTCTGGCTAATAGTGATAAAATATACCAGAGTGGATCCTTGTTAAGTTCGAGAAGCTGCAGTTCACTTTTCAGCTGATACACAGCGAGGTCATACATATTGACTTCCGCTCCCTGAAGGCCCCTGCTGTGAATAAGACTGTCCCTCAGGCAACTCGCCTTATTAAAAGAGAGTTAAGGCAGTGTCCGAGGAAGGGCTTTTTTAAAAGTGACACTTTCAACTCTGAGATGACTGAACAGGCTGAAACCTAAGCAGCTGTGGGGGGATTCTGGTTTGGTGTGTAGAGAGAGAATCCTGTGACTCAAGTGCTCCTGTATGGAGTCTTTTTGATGAGGACCTCTTGACTGAGATAGTGAAGCTGAAATAGCTCACTTGGGAGAGTGCTAGACTGAAGATCTGAAGGTCCCATTCCAATACTGGGTTTTAGCAGCGGAAAGGCTGCTTCTGCAGAAGGCACAGGTGGGACAATAAAACACGTTTCCTGCTGAAATTACTTTTCTTTGCATGGAAATGTTGGGAATTTTTGAGTCTTTTTTCCGCAATGGTTTAAATCTTCTAGGATAAAATGTAAAACATCTAAAGAAGCTGACATTTCAAAAGCATCTTCTGAAAAAATGAAATGCAGTGATTTGCTTAAAATTTAGGAG